TTAAGATGTGTTGCATACATGTACCAACTCCCCATGATAAATGTGATCATTATGAACTGCAAACACATAGTAATAAAAGTAAAAATAAAAATATAAGAAATTAGCAAGTTGTACAGATCCAATGAGTTAATGGCTTAAAAAGATAAGGATGGGGGTGGATAGCTTTAAGTAATTTATTAATATATTTCTTTTTAAATTTGTTCAAACTTTATGTTCTCATGCCTATAATCTTGACTACTCTGAATATGTCTTTTATTGTCATCCAAATGACAAACGTTTAAACATCCACACATTTAAAGTTGCTATTTTTGATAAAGTCTAATTTCCTTAAAAGACCATATTCAAAATTATTTTTTCTCTAATAGACCTGGACTAGACTATATTTTACAAGAGTATCCCCTGGTAATGTTAATGAGATTCAAAGATCTTAGGTCTTTTGTTCCATTGAAAGAGAAAATACCAAAGAGAAGTATGTTTCTGTTTCCATCTTTCTATCTGCTAAGAACTCTACGGCCTTTTCATTTACGCCCTAGTTCTCCAGTGGTTCTCAACAGTGGAACAGAATGTACTGTTGATTTTCATAGTAATCAGTATGTTCTAATGTTATTTAGTGGGCAGAGCTCAGGATTGCTAAATATCTTGCACTGGCCAAAACATCTTCCTTAAAAAAGAGTTGATCCACTTCAAACTTCCAGTAGCATCATGAAAAACAAATGTCATGATTACCCACTCATTTAAGTGATTCTGTTGTCTCTTTGTAATACTCTGGCTTAGTTATAATAATGAAAGAATTTCCATTAATGTTTTTGGGAGCTGAAATTATCTCTGAATTTATATGTCACTTCTGGTACAATTTTATAGAAACCCAGGCCTTCTATCTCGATTTACTCAATTCATTTTTTATTGATATAGAATAAATGGCTCCTTCAGATTTAGCCTAGAACAGATACAACAATATTGTAAGCATGATCAAGACATGAAAACAAGGGAAATATGATCTAGGAGTGATATCATGGCCATAAAGGGAATAAGACAGTTTTTAGTAAGTTTAAAACCTACTGGCTCTCATGCATTCCACTACAGTGCCATACCTGGAAGCACAACATCTAACATAGATGTCAAAAATGAGAAAATATCAGGAAGATACATGTTGTTCAGTACTCCAGGTTGTCAGTATTTCAAAATTTTAAGTTTCACAGAAATGTCTGAATATTTGTATACTTTTTAGTACAAAACACAAAGAAAAAGGAACACCATACGTACATTTGAAATATAAGCCCAGCTTTGTCTTTTTGGAATCATGGCAGAGACATGGTCTTCAGCTGCATCTGTCAGATGAATCATGAGTCTCCAGTCTGCCCTGCCTGATCCTCCAAGTTCTTGCTTCCTGTACCTGTGTCACTTCTCCAACTTCTGTGTGCACTGGAGCTCAAAACTGATCTAAATCTTTGGCAAGGTATGTTCAATACTTTAAAAAATATTAATCAACATTTTTGATTGATGTACTTTAGAATTTCATAAAAACCTAACATTTAGATTGCATATAATTATTTTATGTCATTATTATGTAACTCCTATTTATTAGTTACTTTATGGCATATTTATAAGCTGTTAATAATCTAATATAAGTAAATAATAATTTCAAACTAACAGTTTAGGATTGATTTACCTTATCTGATTTCAGTTTTGGAAGCTAAGTCTTACTGTTTAGTGTCTTCATTCATGTCATACAAGGTATGATTTTATATCGGATTTATTTTAAATCCATTTGACATAAAAACCTAAATCTGACCAACTAATGTACCTTCTATATTATATCTCATTTAATTCATATTTTTTTAAATTGTTATGAATAAATTGAAATCAAAACTGCCTATCATTAATTAACTGAGGTTGACTAAAATTAGCTTCAAATCTTCATGCTAAACTTGGCTTTGCAGAAGTTATTCGATTTGCAATTATTTTAAACCTATCTATGCTCCAAAAGAGAAAAAGCTTCATATTTTATAACTTCTCCTATTAAATATAATGATGGACCTTACCCTCTTCTTCATTCAATAAATATAATATATTCACAGTATATTACACACTGTACTAGACACTGAGGGAAGAGAAATGTACAGAATCTTTGAAAAACTTATATTTCAGTCGAAGAAATAGAGAATGATGAAAAATAAAACATATATATATATATATATATATATATATAGAAGTAAATGTCAGGTAGTCTGAAGGCCTATGAACTAAATAAAGCATTAGTCTCTCTTAGAAATTGTGGTGTAGGCAGGCCTCTTGGATAAGGTGGCATTTGAAAAGAGACTCAGAAGAAATAAGAACACAAATGGCATGGAATCCTAAAAAAAGACATTTCAAGTCGTGGGAGTAAAGTTCTCTGAAATGGGGCCATGTTTTCCATGTGGGAGCAAATGTCTGAAGTTCAGTGCATGAAGGGCTGAAGAGGAAGAGATCAGATCAGCTAGACTGCTTGTGTACAAAATGTGTGTTCTTTTCTGTTCCTGAAATCTTTATTCCCATGAAGGGTCATCCTCACTTCCTATTGTCTTTTCTCTTCTGTGTATCACGAGTACCAGGGGGCACAGGAATATATATATTTTTTTGATTTGTTTATGTTTGCTTAGAAGATACGCACATGGTAATTATGTTCTTCTCTACCCTTTTATTTTGTCCTAAAAAGTGGTCTATCTACAACTAGTCTGTTTTTCCTATTTGTTTATTCCAGGTAGAAGGGGAGATGGGAATGTGATACTGTAGTTTTGGAATGTGAGTTCAAGTATCAACACCAAGAATCTTCTTTCTCTTTCATTGTATATATTAGAAATTCTTGAAGTTTCCACTTTTAAATTTTCAGCTTAATAAAATAGCTGGAAGTGTAAAGAATCCCAATAAGAATGTGCTAAGGTAAAGGGCTCCAGATGTGAAAAAATGAATATTCACCAATATGCTAAAAAATTAAAATTAATTTCCTTGAGATAAGACTATCCTTACCCTTTTGCCAAAGGGTAGGTTGTTTGGGCACAAGCTCTGCCTACGTGTTGTACTGATTTTATTTTTTCCCTTAGAGCGTTGGGAAAGAAAAATCTTTAGAGAAAGAAACAAAGCAAAAAATTCAGAAAGAATAAAGTAGTCTCTTCGTGCTGAGTATGTTTATATCTCACTGAACTACTTGAAAGAGAAACTACTAAACATAGCTCCAAAGTAACAGTGTAGGAGTTATCTCATGAATTTGATACAATAGTGCTTCACGAGGTATTCATTTCAGATAATAGCTAAGTAGGAAGAAAATTAGAACCATGGTGTTTGGTTGTTTGTTTCATTTTTCTCAGTAAGGGATAGAACCTAGACCTCTCTAAAACAAAGGTATTTCACAGATCCCTCTTATTTTTTAATTTTGAATTTTTTTTGTTAAATTGCTTAGGAGGGACCTAAATTTGAGTTCCTTCTGGCTCAAGCTCCCAAATGCAGGGATTACAGACAGTATAACCAGCACCTCAAGTGGTATATTGTGAGCAAAAGGCCCAGAGCCTTGTAATAAATCTGTGATGTTCAACACAGTTACTGAATGAATCAATACTTTTGTATGTTTGTGTGAGAAGGATATTTGCTAGCCTCTGTTTCACCGTTCTAGTATAATGCACATACTATGTGACGATCTGCATATGGAAATAAGTGGCTATTGCACTTTGTTTCTGGAATTTTATGTTCAAATTATAAATTTTATATACAATATTAACATTTTATACATTTTAGATGGATCCATGGGTATATTAATTTTTGATGAACAGCAATTTCCATATACATCTAAAGCATACATTTCAGAGGAATGGCTCCCTGATTGCTGTTTGAAGACTTCACACAGGCTGGCAATATGAACCTATTTTCCCAAACACTTTCCACCCAAATTCCTCATCTAAAAACAAAAAAGCAGATATATATCAACAGTAATTCAGAAAAAGTCAATATAATATTTTAAAAGAAAATTATGTTTTTAGCAATAAAATTGCAGAATCCTGTCTGGAAGCAAAAAAATCCCCAAAACAAAAACAAAAGCATGCTCCATTTTGTAGTCAGTTTCAGCCCCGTTTTTATTTCCACTAGTGATTTCACAATATTAATGCCATCTAACACTTTCCAAATTTAATTTCTATAGATTATTTTTTGCTCATGTACAAAATCTGATCTAACCAAATTTTCAAAACATATCAAACATGATTTTCTCATACAGTTTTTCATAGTATCATTCATTTTGCTGCTTGTTCCTATATATTTGTTCACATTTTTTGTTTATTTAAAAATAATCTTCAATAAGTTGCATTTTTGATCTTTAATCATGTCCCCATTTTCATACTATATTGTAAACTTATAGAAGTTATTATCAGAGTCTTATTGACTCTGGTACTTTTTCACCTACCTCTCATATTCAAAAATCCCATATACAAGTTAAAATAAGTTACTGAAATTAATGACCTGTGAAAATAGCAAACATATAAAATTTAACTAAAGAAGCTATTGATGATAATTTAATGGAAATAATATAACTTGTAAGATTTGCAACTCATAAGATTTGCAATAAGATTTGTAGTTAAAAATAAAATAGTAAATCACTCATGTGTTAGCCACATTATTGGGAATTATGTGATTATTTAACATCAAAATATTCAATATAAATCTACCAGAAGTTTAATCTTATCATAATTTTCAAACAAATTTGGGAATGAAAGTTTTTGATATACTTTGCTGGAACTAGTTTTTGTTCCTGTTCTGACACTACAAATAATATATGTAATATCATTTTTTTCCTCATCTTTTATCTGTCTCCTCCTCCTATATTTTCTTTCTTTTAAATCTTTTTCCCAGACTCTATCACTGAGAACTCTTAGGAAGAGTCAAATTATTTACTTCAATTATATCTAAGTGAAAAAATTAGGTACATATTTAAATGCTGAAGGCACATAAGGCATTGATACAAAATTAAGTAACAGTTTAGGTAATCTTGCAACCAAGATTATATTTCAATTCATAATGATGATTTATCAGGTTACATGTTAGAAACCTTTCCATGTTTTCCATATTAGATTTTTATATATTCATATATGTAAAATAACAAAATACACCTGTATAACCATTCCATATTAACTTTCAAATATTCACAGGATCATATTTTGATTACATTCAAAATATTAAACTTTAATTGTTTCTCTCATTTTCTTAAAGATAAAAGGAACACTGGGAGATACCATCAAGTTTTCAAATTATAGATTTTTAAAACCAAACATGTTACAGATTTAACACTATTATCTGTAGAGATGCAAGCAGAAAACTGAATATGTCATATATCTTGTTGATTATAAGTATTCTTTTTCTTCTGCTTCCCTTCAACCTCCTTTTTATTTATTTTTTCCAGCATCAGATTCATTTATAAGCCCAGACCCACAGGTTTGTTCTTCTGCCTTCTATCCAAATTTTGCATTATGATAGAAAGTATGCTTTAAATTGTTCTTTTATAAGATTTTTGCAAAAGACAAATAATATGAAATATATTTATCCACTAATGTTAGCATTTATGTTAGAAATCCAGTTTGAAGTGTCTAAAAGGGAAAAGATTATCCCAACACAAAACATTGCATATTTCCAAAATGTTCGGAAGTGATAAAGTTCATCAAATAGGGCATGTTCTGCCACAGTTTAAAGGAGTGTACTGATAGCAATTTATTCTCATCTTTCTTTGTATTTACTTCAGGAACATTGAGGTTGAATAATATGTTCCAGTTTTTGGTCATCTGATTTTCAGATCTAGCAACATATTTTCTTAGAATAACCAAAAATGAACAATTTCCTCAAACCAGTTAATGGCAGCTTACTTTAAATGGTAAAATAGACAGAAAACCAACTCATTAAATTGGATTCTTTTTAGTTTGACAAAAATTCACATGCTCAAAGAAATTCGACCTCATTCTCAGTATCAGCCTTAGGAAAAAGGATGCTCTCAGAATTCTTCTTGATATCAATTCAAGACAAAAAAAAGGAAGAAAGTAAAGTGTTTTCAGCATAGTGTTGTTTCATGCTTTTTAAAAGACCAAGGAAATCCATGGTTGCTACTACTCTGTAGCATCCATAATGAATGTCTCTGATTGTCTTGATACCTGTATCTCTACTTTTTAAAATTATGTTTTCATGTTCAACTTTCTTCAATTAATATATAGTTCTTTCTGGAACAATCAGTGTACATCAGTTAATTCCTTGTTTTGATCACACAGTTGTAAGTGATATAGTCTGTCTCTTTGGAGGAATTAATTTTACTAATAAATTCATAAATTTCTTTGGATGTTTTGTACTCCATATTCTCAGTCTATACTTTACTATTAATATTTTTGCCATGTTTGTGCATGTGTATTTATAGACTGTTGGAAGACTTTATACCATATCAATATGTTCTGCATTTCTGGCTGACCAATTATGTCTATGAGTGACATAGAGTTATATGACAACTACATTTACCCTCTATTCTAGAATGTGTGATGAATTTTGCAAGCTCCCTAGCACAACAATCACCAACCCTGTATTTTCACACAGCTTTTCATATTTTTTTGATGTTACTATGGAAGTGTTCTGGTTAATTTCAATTTTTTCCAGAGCTATTTTTGAGCTCTGGAAATAAATTCTTCTAATTTCTCATAAGTATTATCATTTTAGATAGTCCTCTCTTTCAAAAGAATCATCTATAATAAACACAGTGCTTCATATTTCCTCCATTATAAAATAAGAAGATATCAACTTCCTGGATGATATAAAGCACTATTTTACTGATATCCACTCAGGAAAAGGTGCCTGAAAACTGCCATGTGTCATGAATTTTACTTGTATATAATGACATTCTCTCTTTGACCCCTATTTATTTTCTGATATTTTCTATTTTATTAGGTCTATCAGTTATACAGATTATAGCATTTTATTTAACTATATTGGAATAGCAATATCCTCTTGAATCCACTGTAATAAGACTTCATATTTTTAACATTTGCTCTTACCAACTTAACCCAATCAACTTAACCCAACTTTCCAACCCCAATCAATGCTTTTGAACATCACTCAGCCCCCTAACAAAATGAATTACATTGACTCATTCCTTCAAACAGTATTATTTTTTTTTTACTTCCTTTTCACTTCATAATTCTAGATTTCCTCCTCTGGAATGCTCTTAACTTTCTGCTGCCATCTTTTCTTACACTTACCTTGAGCTTCTTTAGTCTCAAAAGATTATATGCTTTAATGCTAAATCTTTTATTTCTTTTTCTCTTACAATTTTCTTCTAAATAGGATTATACTTTTTGCATTACTTTATATTTATGCTGATTTACATCAAATTTATGTTATCTATTCAGGAAACACATTTAAAATTCACACCCATGTTTAACATTTCTTTTTCTTTGTTTACATTTATGTAGTTGTCACCTTAGACATACAATGTTTAAGGATTCAATTTCACCTCAACTGCTTTTCCTTAACTCTTTTCTCCTTTAAGTAAATGGGCCTATCAATTACATGTTGGAAAAAAATGCACAGGTGCACACACACACATACACACACACACACACACACACACACACACACACTAAGGAGCCATTTGCAATTTCTCTCCTTTATAAATGCCACTCCAGGAGTTTTAGATATCTTTACTTAACATATGTCCCTATTTTTTGTAATGCATGCCATTTGCATCTATTTTTACATCTTTGTGCAAGAGGATTTCATTTATCTCTTTTAAATTTTTCATATCTTTCTGCAATTTAAGATTTAAAATAGCCACTGAAATTTGTTCAGAAGATGAGTAAATTTGTTATACTTTTTATTTAAAATTCTTCCAATTTCTTTTACAACAGAGTAAAAGTTGTTCACCATGTTCTACATGGCTGTTTGTCCTAACCTCTAGGTACCTATCTGATTCACTGTGCATAGTCACATGGACATACATGATTTTTATTTGTCCCCGCCCGCCTCAGTACTGAGGATCAAACCCAAGGCCTTCAAACAGAGAAACACATCCCCAGCCATTTTATTCTTTTTTTTTTTTTTGGTAGCAGTGATCAAACTCAGGTCCTTCCACTTGCAAGGCAGGCAGAGGAACGATTGAGCTAAATCCGCACCCTTATTCAATTTTTTCAGACAGGGTCTCAATATATTTCTCAGACTCTTTTTATTTTTCTAACCAAGCCAAGATTTTTATTTAATTGGGACCTTGACACTTTAATTCCCTCTATTTTGAGTGTTCTTCTCTATTGTTTTTCACATAATCAGTCCATTTTTATCTTAACCTTAGCTGAGATTAAAGAAGTATTAGAAGAGAAAAGATAATTTCTCTTTTTAAATAGTTTTGGAGATTATCTAGGAAGATTCCTAGAACATATAGTAATTATTTACTACATTAATTATGCACATGCATGGTACTAGGTTTTGCTGAATAAGAATAATCCCAAAACATGATGATATGATGAGGAAGAGAATTGTTGGAGGGGAAAGGTAAGGGAAAGGAGATGAAGGGATTGAAAATGATCAAGATGTGTTATGGGACTATAACACTTCCCCAGAGCAATCACCACTATGCATTACAGACATCCACTGATTTTAAAAAGTTCATAAGGAAAGCCATCGTAGAGAAAAAAAATACACACTTGGAACTCTAGTGTATGCGTCTGTGGACAGCTGAACACCAGCCTTTTGCTTGCAGTTCCACCAACGGAATACACTCATTCATGCACCTTCACCCTTACCGGGTAGCTCTACATGGCTGGGGAATCTCACTGCGTCACCACTACCTCATGGGTCTCTTCCTACTGCCAGAGTGAATGGAGCAGCCCAGGCACGTTCTTCTTGTTGAAATGGCAGGACCTAAGTGGAAACATGGAAGGGTTTATAAAACCAAGACCCGGGAAAGGGTGACTGCTATCACTTGCAGCTCAAACTGTTGCCAGAGTAAGGTGGAGGACAAAACTGACATGAAAAACCACTGCCAAATTATATGTTAGGGCAGCGGTATCTGTGATTCATGATTTCACTTCCTTTGACTTTCTTCCTTATTATTCAAGTAGTCAAAGTTTTAGTCAAATAAAGTAATGAGGACAAAAGGTAATCATTGTCAATGTTTTTCACTTCACACTTGCCTTCAAATCTCAGCTGTGATGAAATTCCCAGTTAAATTCATCTCTGAAATCTGTGACCCTAAATTTTTGTTCATGCAACAAGGACATGTTATACTATTTCATTTTTCTCTTCCAGAATACTACAAACTCTCCAGAAGCCATTTTTTACTTCTTTATTAAACCCTGTGATTCTGCAATAGACTTTTGTTTTACAAAATTTTTGATAAAATGTTTAAATTAATCTTTGAATAATTATAAACTATTACTAATTGATACTTAAAGACTGAATGAAAAATAATTGTTGTAGCTTCTGTGTTAAATTGCTATAGGTTGCTTGTCCAAATCTTAAAAGTCAAGATAGAAATTAAAGTATATTTGAATATTTTACTACATTTGATTTAGTTTTTATTTCAGTTATATCTTCTCCATTATAGCTTCAAGGAAAAAGAAGAAATATGTCTCTTTTTTTCCTTTAGATATTTCATCAACTACAGTGTTGAAGAGGACAGATTTTTCAACATTGATGCCAATACTGGAATCATTAAAACTTCCAAGGTTCTTGACAGAGAAGAAACTCCATGGTACAACATCACAGTTGCTGCTTCAGAAAATGGTAAACTGTCCTCTGTATTATAGGATGATATGTCACTTGTACATGAAATCTTATATGCAGACTTCATGAGAGTAGGGTTCAAATCATTTTTGTTTCTGCTGTCAAAATGCAGCAACATTTACAAAGCATGTTAGATAAACATACTTATTGTTACATTGAGCAAATAACACTAATACCATTTCCTTTACAGTAAGTCCAGGATAGTTGTAAAAACTTAGTCTTCAACCTTGAAGCAAGAGTATTTGATTCTCCTCCTAATTGTGAGATTTTCTATTTCATGTGTGTGCTATAATTAAACCAAAGAGTCATTACATGGAAGCTATTTCATATAGATTAGTTTTTTAAAAAGATTTGAAAATCTGTAATTTTATCAGCGTGATACCATGGTTTAAAATCCAATTAGCCTTTGTAGAACTGAGAGTAAACAATGACCTGTGGAAATTCAACAGGAAGTCTAAGCCTTCTTCAAGAAAAGCCTATGATATAAATTTGAGGAAGATTCTTGTATCATCCCACACCCAGTATATTGTATTGTGATGAATTCATACATTCAGAAGAATCCAAGCATAAATATCAATAATTATGACTGTGCTATTATTAAGTTCGAACAAAACTCTTTGAAAATTGGGCCGGGGATTTAGCTCAGTGGTTCCAGCACCTGCCTTGCCAGTGCAAGTTCCTGAGTTCGATCCCCGGTACCAAAATAAAGAAAATAGATCCACACTTGTGGCAATATGGTTGTGATTGTATATTGGAAAATGAATTCATCAATCAATTATCCCCTGTTTACAACTGTATGCAAATTTATATAAAGCTTTAAGAAAAATTTCAACACATAAATTTGTCAGAACTCCAAATTGGCCAGAGATTAGGAATCTATCTAAAACACAAAAACAATAGTAAGTAAAAATGAAATTGTGTTCTTTCATTTACTCTAGAGATTATAGGATATGAAGATATAGATTCATTTAGATGCAATTCACATAGTCGACAGCACCCCTCGCCTATCATCCTCCAACTTCCCTATTCCAGGGAACCATTAATCTACTCTGGAGATTTGCTCATTATTGGTATATACTATAAAAGAACTGCACAATATGTCTCCTTTTGACTGATTTTTTTTCCTTAGCATCGCAGTTTCAACAATCATCTGTGTCATTTTATGTGTTATCTCTATTTCACCCCTTTTTTATTAACAAAAAACTATTCCATTATTTTGATATACAAAGTTTTATTTGTTCATTTATGATATCATAGACTTTTGTGTTCTTTAACTTTTTTCCTGATGAGATCTATGTTGCAGTGAGCAGTAGTGGGTAAGTTTTTGTGTAGAAATGCTTTGATTTTTTTTGTAAGGTATAATTCCATATATTTATTTTTCATCATTTTACTCGTACATGTTTGCAGTATATGCAGTTTACAGTCATCTCAGTGAGTGTATGCATGTACATAGCAGAGCTTGTTTTTTTTTTTAATCCACTTCCCCTTTTCTTCCTGACTCCCTCCGTCTTCCTCTTAAGTTCCTTTTTCCATTTTCATTCTTATTGATATTAGTAATCTTATCTGATATTTATGACATGTAATTTTAACATTCATTGAGGTTACTACAGTCCTGTCCATTTCTCTAGTATATATATCTTGGATTGGTATTCTGGGTCACAGGGGAACTATGTAATTAACTACCAGTTTTCTAAATGACCTCACCATTTTCCAATCCTCAAATTATGGAATTCCAAAAGCTCCATATCTTTACCAACATTTTTTATTATTTTTATTTTTGATTATAACTATTTTTGTGGACATAAAGTGAGATCTTATTGAATTTAGGAACTTTTCCATTACCTTTTGTTATATATCAATGGTTAGGCTACTTCAAACTTTTGTACAATACCTGGAATTTTTGTATTATTTGCATAGACAAAATCAACTCAGTGGCTTCCATCCAGTGGCCCACATAATGTTGAAACAAGTATATTCTAATTACTTTTAAAGGGGTATTATAAAGAATACATAGATGGGCTTCTTTGTTATCCTTCTGGTTAGTTTTCATTTTCAAAGTAAGCAGACTGGGTATGTGATTGATGACTTTAAATAGCCATTAAATAATGAATCATCAAAATCAGTTGAAAAAAATGAAAGTATGAAGAGATTAACAAATCCATAAATAAGTAATGAGAACATTGAGCAGCACTTTCTAAGAAGTGAATCAACTCTTGTGAAATTTAAATCAGAAATGATATTTTAGGTTAATTCTTATTCACACCTAAGGCAAATAATGCTTACATCAACTAGAACTAATTTATGAATACATATGAGTACATGTGTATCATGAAAACTGTCTTATTGCAATCATTACCAAAGGAAATGCCTCCTTCTACTAAAGTAACTGAGTAACTATACATGTAGAAGATAACTTCCTACTTCTATTACTTGCTAGTACTTATGGGAGTTAATACATAGCTACTAAGTAAAACAGTGTAGTAAATTGCAACTTCTTGACTTTTATAGCTGATTATAAAAAAGCATTGGAGACCATTTCAAGGAGCATTACTGAAATATAATTTAATCCTAATCATAAACAGGTGAATACAAAGTATAAGCATTAGTTAAAACTTTATAGCCATGTTGGGAGAGGGCTTTTAGGATAATGCACCATCACACACAAATTACTTGGCCTAAGTGCCTCTTACTATTGGTGGGAGCTCTTCCGTGTATAATTGTTTGTAAGTCTTAACTTCAACAAAAGCCACACTATCTAAATATTTTCTGATGCATTCTATGGGGTTGTAGCTTTTTCAAGTGGGATTTTTAAAAATCTACCTACTATAACAATTTCTGAAGAGCTGTTCTGTGCAATTGTTTTTAATACTGTTTGAACATGCTTTTAAATCAGCCTAACTGTGGGTGTGGATGAGTAAGTGAAAGATGCTCCTTCTAGGCAGAGAAGAGGATACACCAAGATTTCAGAGCACAAGAAGGCAAAGTAAAGGTGTGTGAATAAGAGTTGGCTTGCTCTTCACTGACCAGTCCTCACGTGGAGCTGATCATGGGAGAATGTAACATGTCATGACCGAAAAGCATGTGAGCATTTAGGTAGGACTCGGCTGATTGTTCAGTTAGTCACATGGAAAAGACAGAAAACACATTCCCAGAATACGATACCATCTATTGTTGCTTCTATGCAAACTGTATGTTATCTCGCATTTACATGGCATAATTTTACAAAGAAATTAATCCTAACAAAATTTTGTGAAGGGAAGATGACAGACATTTTGCCCATTTCACAGATGAGGAGAGTGGGACCCACAAAAGACATGAATGTAAGTATTCTAATTTTTAGACCGAGGCACAGTCCATCAAGGCCTTCTAGAGAAGTTGATGCTCCCAAAGCCCAAGTGTCAGTCAGGTATTTCCACTAGGATTTAATTTTGTTATTTCTTTTTAAAATCATATTGTGAGGTAAGTTTAATTTACCATCTACATAGAGGACAACATGAATCAGATAAATTCAATAAGTGCATACATTTAAGGAGCTAGAGGGTATCGTGCTATCCTTGCATGTCACAGTTCTTGGAGATTAGCACTTTCTAAATAAAATCCTGTGGTTCAGGTTCATTACAGGGAGTAATGGTTCCTTCTGTGTAGCTCATAACACAATTACTTGCAAGCTCCCATTCTATTGGTTTGTTAATAGAAAACTGAAGGCTATTTAGGTAGGTTTCACTGGGCTCTGGACTTAGGGGCCATATTTTAAAATCATATTTCAGCAGATAAGCCTCTTATCTGGTACTCTGGGGAGTTCTGATTTCCAGTTCATACTTGGCAGAATCTACTTTCTTGATGAAATGGCAGTGAGCTCTCATTTCCTTGAAATCAATTTGCATCTAGACTGCAGCGGTGGAGAACCTACGGCCCACGTGCAGCAGCAGGCTGTTTGTACCATTGAAAGCTCTAAAATGCTCCTCAACACAGGAAGAGGAAGATGCTTGTGTTCCTCTCACCTGACCCCCGCTTTCTGCCAACAAACATGAGCTTACCTCATCCTTTTAATCTCTTTGGATTTCTTTTCTGTTACCAGGTAGAAAAGTGGTCTGTTTTCAATCATTTGCCTGATTGGGTCAGGACCATTCAATAATTTGTGTATTTTAAGTTCAACTGATCTGAGACTTACATTTGCAAAACACTTTTACTAGAGTTAATAGATCAGTGATTGCTTCAAGCAACACAGGATGGGAACCTGGTACTCTCATTAGAACATTGCTTGCTATAGCCGTATAATAGGTGGCAAAAATTGGAGCACTATTGAAATCTTATACTTTTAAGTAGATAAAAGATTTTCCTTCAAACTTCCATGGTATGATTTAATTTTCCTTTTGTGAAGGCTAGCATGATGTGTATTGTTATCCCTACTGATCAATAGACCCTGTCAATGTGGATGACACTGACTACCTAACAGCCAAATTCAATCAGTACTTATTTCCTATCCTCCCCTGATTGCTCATGATATTTTACAATATTAGTTATTCTTTTCCTCTTAAAATTTTCTCTTCCCTTAGCTATGCTTCTAGCATTTCAAACTGACACACTATAAAGTCTCTATACTAAATTATACATTAATTAACTCACTCCAAATGTATTAATAAACAATACTTGCAAGACAGTGTGCTATTTTAGGCATGGACTATGTTGAAGACATTACTTTTTTGAGGAAGAATTTACGTATCCAATGCAGAAATAAAAAGAAGCAGAACTTTACACTGGAGAAATTTATTATGGCAATAAACTCCTTTTAGGGACAAAAGAAACATGGAACTTGAAGTTTCTGTCTCTCTAAGAGGATCATCAAATGTTTCACAGAGAGGATAATGTGTGGGTTCAATCTGGACATGAAGGGTGAATAACAGTTGTCCTGAATATCCTATTCTGATTCTAAATGCACCTTCATTCCTATGTCAGTCTGCATTTTCCAAGAAAACAGCAGTAATTGCATATCAGTGTTT